AAACCCCATTTTCCATTTTCCCCACCTTCTCTTATACCTTCACTTGCCTTTATCTCCCTCCTGACCCTGTCCTTAATTTTCTTTGGACTTTAAAACTGTACCTTCTCTGTGGCTGGCTAATCCTAGATCTTCCCTCTGTATCGGAGGCTTCCTAACCTTGGAACAACCTCTCACTTCTATTGCTGCTTACTCTGGTATATCCCTCCACAAGGCCATCCCTCCTTCTCTTATTGGTGAATTCCTTCTGGAGCCACTATGTTATGGGGGGGCCCTAGACTGACCTGCCTTCATTCCCCTCCTGGTCCTATTCCTGATTTTTTTCTGGACTTTCTGCACAAAACTATGTCCCAGAATCAGGTACCTTCACTCTTCCCACCCTTTCCTGTGGTGTGTTCTCTTACTAGAATGTAAGCTCCTCGAGGGCAGAAACCGTTGTTCTTTATGCTTGGCATCCCCAATACCTAGCATAGTGTCTGGCACAGAGGAAGTGGTCAATTCATTCATTCATTCATTCATTCATTCATTCATTCATTCCTTCTTTCCTGTGCCCAACCTCACATTGAAATAAATAATATTAATGTATAATGTTCATTTGGATGATCTTGCAGGGTTCCTCAGTGGATTTCCCTGCTTCTCCTACTCCTGCAACAGTTGCTGGCACATAGGCAGGATGATCTTCACGGTGTCCTGTTTTCTTGAGGTCCTTGGGAGAACTGCAAGGCAGATGATGAAATGTACCATGAAATGATGGAGGTTGTTGTTGCCCTTGGAAACAGAAAATCCAACTCCATCTCCCTTCTTCCCATAGAGGAGAACTAGGAGAGATGGAGGTAGATGGCATAAAGGCTGATTTGGGCTTGCTCGCAGGAAAATTCTCTTAGGGAGTATTGGAGCTCCTCCAAAGTAGGAAAAGACTGCCCTGGGAGGTGGTGAGATCTCTCTCACTAGATGTCTCCCAGTGAAGCCTGGATGACACTTGTAGGGAGGAGTATTATTCAGTACGTATTGGACTAGAGACTTCCATGTTATTAGCCTACATTTACACAGTGCTTTACATATATTATTTCATTTGATCCTCACAGGGTCCCTGTGAAGTAATTTAAAAAGCTCATGCAAAGTGGGGCTAGCCATATTAAGACAGACAATTTTGTGGTTCAGTTGTATCCAACTCTGTGACCCCATTTGGGGTTTTCTTGGCAAAGATACTGGAGTGATTTGCCATGTCCTTCTCCAGCTCATTTTACAGATGAGGAAACTGAGGCAATCAGAGTTAAGTGACTTGCCCAAGGTCACACAGCTAGTAAATATAGTAAGATAGTAAGTAAGGACAGATTTGAACTCAGGAAGATGAGTCTTCCTGACTCTAGGCCTGGCACTGTGCGCACAATGGTGCCATTTAGTTCTTCAAGAGAGACAATAGATTCCAACGATAGGGAGCTAGGAACCCCACTCTGGCCAGAAGTCATCTGAAGATTTGTGTTCAGTTGTGGGCGCTGCTGTTTAAGAAGGACATTGTTGAGTATCCAGAGGAAGGTAGCCAGAATGGTGAAGGACCATGGATCCATGTCATAGGAGGGTCAGTTGAAGGAAGTGGGCAAGTTTAGCCTGGAGAAAGGAAGGCTGGGATGAGGGTGGTGGTGGTGCAGGGCATGATGTCTGACTTTGAGTATCCAAAGGGCTATCATATGCAAAACAGATTAGACATGCTGTGTTTGGTCTCAGAGGCCAAAACTAGGAACAAGGGACCGATGTTGGAGATATACAAATTCTGACCATGAGAGCTGGTCAAAAGTGGAATGGGGCTGCCTGAGATATGAATGGTTCCCTTTCATTGGAGGTCTTCAAGCAAAGCCTTGATGTGTTCTTGTCAGGTGTGCCATGGAAGGGAGCTTCGTCCAGTTATGAAATGGGAGCTGGGAAGGAGGGAGGTGATCTGAATGGGGGAGAACTAGAAATAATGCCTAGAATTTCAGCCTACAAGGAACCATTCCAGACCTAGGGTGCAGAGTGAGTGGGGAGGCAGAGGCAAAAATGTTGGTTCTTTTTTAAAAAGTGCCAAATAAGGTCTACCCCAGTGTCAGTGGCCAAAATAACTTACTGTTAACAAGTCTCCAATCAGAGAAGTGACTATTTCTCAGTTAGTGTTCCTGATGTAGAACTTATTAGAATGTTTGTTCACTTTGGGGAAATAGCAAATGTATGGATTTTAAAATGTTTTACTTATTTATTACAAGGATTGTGCTTTTCTTTCTTTTTTAATAGGGGGAGGGGGAGAAAGGAGCTGAGTTACTAATGTAAAAAGAAAAACAGAAACAAAAGAAGGTCATTTAAGCATTTTTTTAATACTCAGAAGAGAACAAAAGATTTTCAGAGGGAAAAACAGCAAGACAGTTTTGAAAGTTGCATATTTAATTTATTATATAAATAATAAAAATATTTGAAAATACTATAATAAAATAAGTAATAGAAATAGAATTACAACATAAATACAATATAACTATAATATGATACAATGCTGGTTAAGAAGTTGAGAGTCATAATGTCCCCAAGCCTCAGTTTCCTCATTTGTGAAGTGGGGGAAAGGATAAAATCAAATTTGTCAAGCTGTTTGTGAGACTCCAATGAGATAAAGATCTGTAAAAGGAATTTTAAAGTGCTACAGACAAGTGGGCTGTTTTTATTTACACACTCATATAAAGTGAGCCCATTCAATAGGCACACTTTTCTTTTGCAAAAGCAATGATGCTATTTCCCCAATGGATGAAAATGGCGGCGGGGGGGAGAGAAGAGATTCCCATATTGGACATTTGTACCTGTGATCAGTCATTTCGATCAATAACTCTTCCGTCTTGTCCAATATGGAGGCAATAGTACACATTTAATGGAGTCAGTAATCTACCTGGATTGAGCAATTTCCATCTGAAGTTCCCTCAGAACTTTTGAGTAGATGCCATCTGGTCTTGGTGACTCATCTCCATTGATTTAGACCTGTCTTGTGTACTGGCCCTTCCTTGACCTAATACCCCAGATCTACCCACCTCAAACATCCTGGGACCTCAAATATCTTTTCCAAAACTGTTTCTGAATGCTTTGGTGACCTTTCCCAACCCCCTGTCTTGCCAAACTGACCCACATTTTGTATGGATTCACATGTCATTGGCACAGGCAAAGGGATGCAGCTATCATCGCAGAGGCAAATAGAATGAGCACTTTAAAAACTGTCCCAACCTGTTAATGAAGAATTTTTATGCCAAGAAATATGGTTGCACCCATTGACCGTGATGCAGTGACAAGAAGAGTAGTTTTCATTTTGCCCTTGACTGGAAATGCTTGTTTAGTTGAAGAGCCTGAAGATTTGAGAGTGAGGGGAAAAGAAGAAGAAGAGGATTCCCAAATCTAGAAAAATCCCAGAGCTTTAGTTTTCTCACCTGTGATTAAAATTGATGCAATGATCATTGGGGCAGCTAGGTGGTGCAGGGGTTTGAGGGCAGGCGTGGAGTCAGGGCAATCTGAGTTAAAATCTAGCCTCAGATACTTACTAGTTGTATGACCCTGGGCAAGTCACTTAACCTCTGTTTGCCTCAGTATAGCACCTACCTCCCAGGGTTGTTGTGAAGATCGAAGGAGATAATAATTGTAAAATGCTTAGCCCAGCTCCTGGCACATAGTAGGTCTATATAAATGTTAACTATTGCTGCTGTTAGTGATTTGAAGTATTCTTTTATATGGTTGTTATTAATTGGCAATTCTTCTTTTGAGAACTATTTGTTCATCTTTTGGCCACTGAATTTGGCTCACTGGGAAATCAGTCTAACTAACTGAGAGGGGCAACTAGGTGGCGCGGTGGGTAGAGTACCGAGCCTAGAGTCAGGAGGACCTGAGTTCAAATCTGGCTTCATACTTGCTAGCTGTGTGACTCCGAGCAAGTCAGTTAACCCTGTTTGCCTCAGTTTCCTCATCTGTAAAATGAAGTGGAAAAGGAAATGGCAAACAATTCCAGTATCTTTGCCAAGAAAATCCCAAATGTGGTCATGAAGAGTCGGATACAAATGAAAGGATTGAACAACCACAAACTTCAGAGAATGCTTATCCCTTGACTGACTGCAGGGGAATGAACTTTTCAGCCACACTAACCCTCAAAGACCATCTGCGGGATCATAGAGAGCTTGTGACCTGTGCTGGTAGAAGGAGCCACTCTAATGAAATTCAACTTGTCATCTCTCTTGGGAGGATTTTCCTAAGCCCCTCCCACACCAGTTGTTACTGCTCTCCACTTCACAATTCTATTGTATGTACATTATTTATTTTTTTCTGTATAAACATTGTAGAATGTAAGCTCCTTGAGGGCAAGGACTGCTTCCTTTTTTGTCTTTTTTAACCCCAGTGCCTCCCACGTTTATTTGTTTTTAACTAGAACTTTGATATCATTGGTATAGGGAATTCCTGGTGAAGATCTCTCTATCAATGCAGGCTTGCACCTTTTCTGCAAATTCTCATCTTAAGAGACTTTCCTGGGGGTTCTTAGAGATGAGGTGACTTATCCAGGGTCACACAGCCAGTATGTGGTGAAGGCATGGTTTAAACTTGAATCTTTTTGATCTTGAAGCCAACTCTCTAATCCACTATACTTAGTAGATACTTTATTATGTACATCAAGAGATTTAGAGCTATAAGAGGCACCCACTCTCATCCAGTCTTGCTCCCTCATTTTATAGGGGAGGAAACAGAAGCCAAGAGTGAGGAAATCCCTTGGTAAAACTTGATTAATTGCAATGAATTGAATGCTTGAAGCAATGAGGTGGAAGTTCAGCATTTCATCTTGCTTATGCATATCTGCAGTGTACTGTACATGTGTCTTGTAGCTCCAACTATGTAGATGTCCAAACCCCCCCCCCCCCAAGAAAACCCGTGAAGCCGGAGCTGGGTGGGGAAGATTGTATGTTTCTGCAGGTTTTCTGCAATGTGTTTATGAACATTATTGAACATTGTGTTTCTCCCAGAAATAATCCTGCCCTTGTTTATGCAATTCTTACCATTTGGACCTGGAGCATGCTACAGTTTCCACTTGACCTTGCAGGTTAGTGCTTGTTTTGCCCTGTAAATGACATTCTGTCTCTTGCCTCCATGCCTTTGCCTGGATGTACTGCATGTCTGGCATGCCATTCCTTACTCCTGCCTCATAGATAACTGAGCTTTGTTCAAAGCCAAACTCAGTTACCATTTCCTTCTCAAGGCCTTTCCTGAAACCCCATCGTGAATGCTCCCACTCTTTGAAATTGTTGTCTCTACTCTGTATACAGTTTGCATTTATGTAATTGGATACATGTTCTCCCTCTCCCTCTCTCCCCCTTCCTCTCTCTCTCTCTCTCTCTTTCTCTCTCTCTCTCTCTCTCTCTCTCCCTCTCTCTCTCCCTTCTCTCTGTCCCTCCGTCTCTGTCCCTCCCTCCCTCCTTCCCTCTCTCTCTCATTCTCTCTCTTTCTCATTCTCTCTCTCTCTTTCTCTCTCTCTCATTCTCTCTCTTTCTCATTCTCTCCCTCTCTCTTTATCATTCTCTCTCTCTCTCATTCTGTCTCTCTCTCTCTCTCTCTCTCTCTCTCTCTCTCTCTCTCTCATTCTCTCTCTCTCGTCCCAGGGCAGGGGTTATTTTTTGCCTTTGTATCTCCAGTTACTAGCATAATATCTTACACATAGTAGGCACTTCATATTTCTTTAATTGAATTGCCCAGGAGCCCAAAGAAATAAAAGTTTCCAACAACCTCGAGTGCAGCAAGGCATCCCTTATTTACTCATTACTGTTACTGAGATCCTGTGTAGCTTTACCAGAGCTGGCAAGCCAGCCATTATCAGGGCCCAAGCAGTGAACCTTTGGAAAATGTCAGTAACTAATTTTCAAGTCTAAGTGTGGATTTTGATGATTTCAAGAGGGAAAGTGGGTCAGGATTTAGTGTGGCCAGGGAGGCGCCTGGATATGTCCACAGTCTAGGAATACTTGGAAAGTTAAGGCCATTTTTGAGCTGCAGAGAGATGAAGATAATCCCAGATCCTTACTAAGAATTTTAGTGTTTCTTTTGTGATGAAACTCAGAACCCAATTGGATCTGTTCTAGAATGGATCCAGACTGCTAACCCTGAGCCTAAGATGATCTAAGCTTTCCCATAGATAATGAGTTGTGAAAAACCTGATCGATTCTCTAGTTCTACCACCATGTTTTGCAAATGAGGATACTGAAAGGGAATGCTGCAGAGGGCATAGAATCAGGATTTGAACCTAGTTCCTCTGAGCCTAAAGCCATTCCTACTCTTTCATGCTGATGACCCAGGGCTGGCCCAAAACGTTCCAGGCCCCTCCATCCCACAGTGGCCATCTCCCAGAACCTGCCTGAGTCTTCATTTCATTGATGTCTGCCCCAGCCTCTGTTTGGCTTATTCCTTTTTCCTCATTCACTCCATTTTCTTCATCACTAAAATTTCCCTTTCAATCAGGAGGCAACAGATCTTATGTCTTTAAGACAAACTACTTATACACACACGTATTTGTCATTCATTGAAGGTTTTCGGAGTATAGATGCCAATCTGTTGTCAGATATGTTGTAGTAGGGATTCCTTCCACATAGAGATTAGACTGGCTGTCCTCTGAGGTCCCTTCCGCCTCTTCAAAAAATTTTGTGATTCCATCTTGAACAAAAAGCTCAAAGTAATTCCCAAAATTCCCATGGACTACATCTCATACCAACTGCCATTTGCTAAAAATCAGTCAATTAAGAAACATTTATTAAGTGCCTACTCTGTTCCAGAAACTGTCTGAGTTTCCAGAGACACAAAGGAAAAAAAAAAATCCTTGCCCTCAAAGAGTGTCCAGAGACAACATAAAAAATCAGAACATACAAGTTATATACTGAGTAGATGGAAGCTAGCTTTAGAAGAGATGGCACTAGCAACTTGGGGTTCTGAGAAAGGTCTCTTGGAAAAGAAAAAAAGTACTTAGAGGTAATTATACACATGCACACACTTGCCAGAATGAATGAAAAGATGGCACTACTTTTGTTGAAACATCAGTGAAGGATACTTTGATACTTGGATGAATTTGTCATCTCATCAGTGAGGCTTCTCCTCCTAACGATGCAGTTCACAGTATATCTTAGGACTTTGTTTCAAGTCTTGCCTCTGATTCCTTACTCCCTATGGGACTCTGGGCACGTTAACCTCCCTGGACATAGGACCTTCGATTTAAAACTGGAAGAGACCTTAGAGATCATTTCCAACTCCAATATTTGAGGACCCTGAGGCACAAAGAGTGAAGGAGATTTGCCCAAAGACCCGTGAATATTCAGAGTCAGATCCGAGATTCGAACTTGGATCTTACCATTCTCAATCTATAAACTTTCTACCATCCTAAGGGGTAGGCGCCACCCCGCCCAGCTTCTTCATCTCTGAAATGAGGGATCTGCACCAGATGACCTTTGAGGTCACCTCCATTGTTTCTTCAGTGCTTCATATCCTGTGTCACTCTTGTCAGCCTCCTCCAACCACACGAGGGCCTTTCTCAAGTTCTCTTGGCGTTATCAAGTGTCGCCATTTCTGCCTTCACCCTCTCGTGTACATCTTCTTCTCTCCGGTCTCACAGTTCCCACCACGGAGCAGGCTTCCGTTACTCTGTGCCTAGAGTACTGCAGTAGCCTGCCGGTTGGTTTTCCTGACTCAAGACTCTTTCCACTGTTATCCATCCTCCATTCAGCTGCCAAAGTGATCTTCCTAAAGCTCAGGCCTCACCATTGCCTCCCCTTTCCCTCCAGGATCAAATATAGAATTCTTTGTTCAGCTTTGAAATCCCTTCACAACCTGGGCACTTCCTACCTTTTGAATCTTTTTCTACGTTACTCCCCTTCTGCCTACTTGGGTCTTTGCACACAACTCTGTATCTCCCTAATCCTTGTCTTCTTCAAAAAACAAAGGACCAACAACAATGGCATTTTCATTGGCTGTCATCTAGGCTGTACTCCTCTTCCTCACCTCTGCTTCCTGGCTTCCCTGACTTCTCTCAAGCTTGAGTTCAAATCTAACCTTCTGCAGGAAACCTTCTGTGCCCCTCTCAATTGACATCTTGTGCTTATATAGCTGTTTGCATGTTGCCTCCTCCCATGAGAATGTGAGCTCCTCCAGGAGCTTTCTTTGCATCACTACCATTTAATGCAATACTTGGCACATAGTAGGTGCTTAATGACTGCTTGTGGATTGTGATGAAGATTGCATGGACACCAGTGAATTTCGTGCGGTGCTTGTTATTTTGACAGACTCATCATTTCTTTAAAGGTCGTCATTCCTTTTGATGACACCCTTCATGCCTTAAGTTAATAACAAGTTCATGCCATGAACAAGAAAAATAAAGCAATAAGCTCACATCCCAAACATGTATACTGCTAGAGAACCAAGGCATGGGCTATTGGACATTTGCCCACCCGACCAAAGGCTCTCCTACTTTAGAAGTCAGGCCCCCTCATCCCCAGTGTTTCTCAAATGACCATTGCCCAACTAGTTCCTAGGAAGGGACAATGCCAGGCCCAAGCTGGGCTGCCCACAGGCATGTCCCTGCTGTTTGCCACGTCTTGTGGTTTGAAGGCTCACTGAGAAAAAACTTTTATTTTAGAAGGATATTCTATAAACTATCAGGGACCATAATGTCGTACAGTTGTGGGAAGCAAGGAGAGCAATGGGGTTTTTATTTTTTTTTTGTTATTAAAAATATGAACCTTTAATTCTAGGGGAAGCCTGAGGTCATTAAAAGTGCTTTACAATTTCCTTAAGGCATTTGAACATACTTTAACAATATCAATAATTGTTACATTTCTTTTTCTAAAGTTTTAAAATATTTTTATTTAAAGTTTTGAGTTCCAAATTCTATCCATCTCCCCTCCATGAGATGGTAAGCAATCAAATATAGGTTATACACGCTCAATTATGTAAAACATTCCCATATTAGTCATTTGGTACAAGAAGACTTGAATAAGAGAAAAAAATGAAAGAAAGAAAGTGGAAAATAGCATGCTTCAGTCTGTATTCAATCATTCTGGAGGCAGATAGTATGCTTCATCATTATTCCTTTGGGATTGTCTTGGATAATTGTATTCCTGAGAATAGTGAAGTCATTCACAGTTGTTCATCAAGTAATATTGCTGTTACTGTGTACAACGTTCTTCAGATTTATTCACTTCACTTTGCATTGGTTCATGTAAGTCTTTCCAGGTTTTTCTGAAATCATCCTGCTTGTCAATTCTTACAGCACAATAATATTCCACTACAATCATATACCACAACATGTTTAGACATTCTCCAATTGATGGGCATTCCTTTGATTTTCAATTCTTAGCCACCATAAAAAGAGCTGCTATAAATATTTTTGTATAAATATGTCCTTTTTGATTATTTTGGAAGACTTTGGGATATAGACCTAGCTGTGGTGTTGCTGGATCAAAGGGTATGCACAGTTTTATAGCCCTTTGGTAATAGGTATTGCTCTCTAGAATGGTTGGATCAGGGAGCCAAGATGTCAGAGGGAAAGCAGTGACTGTCTTGAGCTCTCTCCCAAAGCCCTCCAAATACCTAAAAAAATGGCTCTAAACAAATTCTAAAGCAGCAGAATCCACAAAAAGACAGAGTGAAACAAATTTCCAGCCAAAGACAGCCTGGATGGTTGATCAGAAAGGTATATCGCACTGGGCGGGGAGAGGAGCGCAGTTTGGTGTGGGCGCGCAGGCCACTGCGACCCTGGAGCAGGCCTCAGAGGACTGAATTGTGGGCAGCTGGGGTGGTTTCCAGAATTCTCAACCCATGAATGCCAAAGACAACTTAGAAGGTCAGTGGGAAAAGTCCGTGACTGTGGTGAGAGAGGAGCTAGGTCTCAGACACAAGTCCCGAGCGCGGCCGGGCTGAGGCTTTTTCCTGAGCTTCCGACCCACAGACTGAGGGGGTATCAAGTGGCTGATCAGAGAAGGATTACACGGATCTCTTTGCCAGTGCTGAGGCAGGAATCTCTTGCTTTGCCAGTGCTTGGATCTGGGTCACAGTTCTGAGGGACAGTCC